ATGAATATATTACCTACAGGGCAAAAGGGTCTTTGGGATGATATGATCAAATGAAGGATCTCGAGACGGAGAGATTAGCTTGGATTACCCAGGTGGGCCCAAATGTCAAAGACTCTTCTAAGAGAAAAGGGAGGCAGAAGAGTCAGAGAAGGAGATGGGTTAGTGGAAGCACAGGTCAGAGAGATTTCAAGATGCTATGCTTTGGCTCTGAAGATTGGGGGTGGGGGGAGGGAAGTGGGGTCACAAGTCAAGAAATGCAGGCAGCTTCTAGAAGATGGGAAAGGCAAGCAATCGGATTCTCCTCTAGAGTCTCCAGAAGGAAGGTGGTCTTGCCGACATCTTGATTTTATCCCAGCAAGACCCGTTTCATGGACTTGTGACCTCTAGAACTATAAAATAACAAATTTGTGTTGTTTTAAGCCACCCTGTTTATGGTATTTGTTACAGTAGCAACAATAGGAAACTAATATAAGTTGTTCCTAAGAGAGAAACCATCAGTGGGGAAACTGGACTGTGTTCCCCAGGGGCATGTGTCATGGAGGAGGGGGTGAGGTGAGGAGAAAAGAGACATCTAGAGCCAGCAGGATGGTTGTGTCCATGCAGTGAGATCCTCCCTGAGAACCCCTTCCATCTTTAAAAAAAGTTACTTAGCTCCTAAGATGCTGTACATGATTGGCTTTGGATTCAACCCAACAGTGATGTGGTTAAGTTTCCTATTTGGGTTTGATGTGCTGTAAAACTGAGGTACCATGAACAAACCCTGAGTGCAGAGACAGAGAAGCAAGTGTCCTATCTGTGGGAATAGTAAAAAAATATTCAATATACTCAAAAATTCAACTCGAATACATAATAAAGAGCTACAAAAAAGAAAGTGTCCTATAAAGGAATATTACACAACACAGGTAAGTGCTCCATGTGAGAAATGTTTACATTATCGCGTCAACGTGCCCCATCATTTCATATCTCATGCATATGAAATAAACAGTAACCATACAACTGGGGCAAGGGAACATTGGATAATCTCACACAACTGCTCACACAACTGCTCTTCAAAGAACTGTTTATTCTTCCCTGTGGTTTACCTCCAGTGCACTCTCTGCTTTGCTATGGCTTTTTCATGTCTTAATCTGATTGAGTTCATCCTTGCTGTCACCTGGAAACATGATGTAGCTCATGAAATCTCCTTCCCTCTGCCTGGACCCATGGGTGATGCCAGTGTGGAAACCCCTTTTGGACGTAATTACTGGAGCAAGGGAGGCTCTTCTGCAAATGTGCCTGTCAGGCTGCCAGATCAGCACTGAATCTGTTGAGTGGAAGTGGGACTCTGATAATTTTCTACTGATTCTCTTCCTACCCTTTTATTTCTGAATACTGAATGATCCTTTTTAGAACAATTATCCAAATTTTAGAAATAGACCAAAGGGACTAGTAGGTGTCCTTTCTATGTAGGCTGGGATTGCTGAGTGGGCCCACATCTCCCAGGAATGATCTGATTTTCTAGACGTGGGTACCTTTGACTTCCTATTTACTATGGTTTGAGTTATTTTACAACCCTGCCTGGGTGCGAGGGGAGAGGTTAACTTAGAAAACTTATCCCAATGCAAATGGTTTCTGTCTGAGAGTAATACAAATGGCTCCCATCCACTGGCAACAAATGATTTGTATCATAGCAAGGACAGCTCCCAAAGTTAGGTTTACTGCCTTGTAGGACATTAAGTGGTTTGCATTCTATTAGCAGATTCATTGCAGTATTCGTTTGACTCCATAAATCTCCGTTCTTTGAAACCTTGATTTGAACCAGTTTTAACATACAACTAGTTTCCTCACTAATTAATGAGTTGAATAAAATCTCTGACACATGTTCATTTTGTATTTGTATGGGAGCCAGGTTTTTAATTCCTGGAAACTAAACAATACAAAGAGATCTGCTGTGGTCAGGAACTTTGGACAGGTATTCTTGTCTCTCATCACCTCCCACCTGAGGGGACTCTGAGCCAAGGAAAAACTGAATTAAGGAATTAAATTGACCAGGAGAATCTTCAGTGGTTGAACATCAGTATGAGTCAGTTCCACAAAATTTGCAATCAATTGATCCCAAATGTTAATGGGGACTCAATGCTTTGTCCAAAAAAATAAAGTCAATAATAATCAGCATTTTAATATTCTTAATTTAAAGATAGGAGCAGAGACAAGGTAGGGGTTGTGTACTTTGTACAGTGGCCTCTGGGGGTCCCTGAGGCCCTTTCAAGGGGTCTGTAGGTCAAAACTCTTTGTTATAACAAGACACTGTTCGCTTTTTCCCTTGTGTTCACAGCTACAGTGATAGTGCCAAAGTGACAGAGGGTGAGACCACTGGTCCTCAGCATGAATCAAGGTGGTGCCCCAGACTCCGTGAGTGGTCACTGGATTATTTGCTACTGTGCACTCACAGTTAGAAAGGGAGAAAAAGTCAGTTTCACCAATAACATGCTTGACGAAGCAGCACAATGTATTCATGTTCTTAAATCTTAACACTTGAGCACACATCCTCTTAGTATTTTCTGTGATGAAATGGGACGTACGCATAAATGCTGCCACACAGCAAAGTGGGACAGTTGTCTTGAGAAAAAACACAAATGTGACTGAGTTGTGAGCAGGATTAGCCAGTTTTTTTATGCAACTATGTTTTTATGTGAAAGAATGATTGATGATAAACTACGGTTATTGAGACTTATGAATCTGGCAAACATTTCCTCAAAAATAAACAAAGTGAGCCTGTTGCTCCAAGGAAAACAACTGATGGTTTCCGTTGCCAATGATAAAATTTGAACTTTGAAGTGAAAAATCAGAATTTTAGAAAACTTGCATCCACCCACCATGAACTTCACAGCTTCCCACCACTTAAAAACTCTTCTGATGGTATTCTGAGATGAAATATGGCAACATTTGGGAAATCTGCATAACTCACTAGACTGGGATTTTCCAAGTGACCAAAGCATGATGTTTACAAGATGATGCACGGGGGAAAAAAAATCCATTCAAGTGCAAGACAGATGCACTTTTAATCTAACGGAGTATAAAAGTGCATTGATGTTTCAGATTTAACACTGCAACTAACTTTTAAGAAACCACCACTTGTTGAGTTTTGGTGTACTATCAAAAAAGAACATTCATAAATAATCTGAAATGGTTATTAAAATATTCCCCCACCTTGAGTAGCTTCTGTCCATTCATTCTTCTGGTGTTTGCCATTGCAACTTTAATAAAATTACACTTCGATTTTGGTGTATCACCTTTAGATAGTTCTACTGACTCTCTGCCATGAAATTTGAGGTATTCAGCACGGTCATATAGCCTTCCTCCCCCCAATTCCTCTTCTAGTTTTAGGGCTCTTTGTTACCTTGAGCTTTAACAGCTACCTTTCTAACTATAAAAATAAATAAATAAATAAATAAATAAATAAATAAATAAATAAACAAACAAACAAACCAGATGTACACCTCTAGTTCTTCATCTATGCCTCCTTGTTATGAAAGATAAAGGGGTCGCCTCACCCTTGCTTCTACTTCTCCAAATTCACCTCCTGATTTTGGTCAGCCTTGCGATTTTTATGTTGTCAAGGTTTAAACTTTTTTTTTTTTTTTTTTAATTTTTATTTATTTATGATAGTCACAGAGAGAGAGAGAGAGGCAGAGACATAGGCAGAGGGAGAAGCAGGCTCCATGCACCGGGAGCCTGACGTGGGATTCGATCTCGGGTCTCCAGGATCGCGCCCTGGGCCAAAGGCAGGCGCTAAACTGCTGCGCCACCCAGGGATCCCTGTTGTCAAGGTTTAATGACATTTTGGGTTTATTCTGAAATTCAAATCGAGCCTTCTGCATTTGTCTCCATGCTGATTCTAAAAATTTTTCAACTTAAAACATGATTATGTAAGTCCGTTCACTGCAAGACCAAGCTGTGTGATACCACCACAGAAAAGCATATGTAATTCTATGTCATTAAATCCCTCTGGTCAAAAGAGAATGTCTCAAGCAGAAAAGCTCAATGGATTTTCTACTTGTCACTTCTGAGTTTTCTAGACTAGTGCTCATCATTATTCTGTTATGACGGAGACATTCTATATCTGCGCTGTCCAATACTAGCTTCCCAGCCCATAGAGGTGGTTGGTGTGACTAAGGACTGGACTTACTCATATTGTTTCATCTTAGTTACCTTAAATTTAAGTATCAACAACCACACACTGCTAGTGGCTACTATAGTGGATAATGCAGCCCCAGGCCACACTGGTGCTCTCTCTCTCCTCTCTCCCCACCTAAGGCTTATCTACCATGATTGAGCCCCTGTCAGAACAGGCACCTCCACTTCTTAGGATACCACTATGTACAGGCACTATGATAGCTGTTCTTTATTTTGTTTTAAAGATTTTATTTATTTGAGAGAGGGCAAGAGAGATCCCAGGGGGAGAGGGAAAGGAAGCAGCAGACTCCTTGCAGAGCAGAGCAGGGAGCCCAGCCCGATGTATGGCTTGATTCCAGGACTCTGAGATCATGACCCAAGCCAAAGGCGGACGCTTGACTGACTGAGCCAGCTAGGTGTCCCTATGATAGATGTTCTTTAAATAGCACCTCAAACCTTCCCAAGGGAGATGCTACCACCCAGTTAGCAGATAAGAAACCACAATTCCTGGAGTTAAGTTACCCAGGTTGCATGCTGCTGAGAGAGGTTGCTAAGCTGGGATTGGAGAAACTTCTTTTCCTCCTATGCTCCCTCCTTGATGTCATTCCAGGCACCAGACACGTGGTGGTGGAATTCAAGGGTAAAAGAAACCCCAGGCCTGTCCCGGAGGCACCAAACTAAGCCAGAGGGTAGTTATTTTCTGCATCTGCTGTGACTGATTTCATGAACTTGGGGTGGTGTTCAATTCCACGGTTTCTGGTTTTGTAGCTTACTTAATAATAATGTGCTCTAATGAGACTGAGAAGATTTACAAAAATTTCACAGTGCAGTTAACTTTAACTTACCTCCTTCTGATAGGCCAGCCCCGCTTCATAGAGTTTAATAAAGAGGTACTGAGTCCATTTGTAGTAATCTGGTAAACATGTAGTTATTTCCTGGCAAAGAAGGGGGAAAAAAAACACTCAGAGGCCATTGTAAACATTCCTCCTCACCCCACCACCAATGAATGCATTGGCCCTGCGATTCAATTTTGAAAAGCAATCACACTGCAAAAATATTTACCAAGCAATATTTTTTCTGCCAATTCGTAAAGTGGGGGAAGAAGCAATTCATTCTGGGAAGAAAGGTTATTACTGAAATGCCACCCCTACTTGTTCCAGGGTCAGTTTAATGATAAGAAACTCAAAGTCTTCTGCATACTTCTTCCCCAGGCCATGTAACAGGTGAACGACACTGTATAAGATTGGGCTTTAATATTTTTGTCAGCAGGTATTCTGGGGATTGTGACACTAATTCAAGAACGTAGTTTGAATTTTGAAAGCAATCACAAAATTCAAGAGGAATATCTGCCTGCTTCAGTAGGATACTCATTTGAAAACAAATCTTGTGTTTCTATGTATAACAAAGCCCTGGAAGCTCTTTTAGACTTATTTACATTCCATTTATCCCGTTAGGTGAATCAGGCTCCTGCCTAATTAGGAGGACCCATTAAAATCATTATTAAAAATTAAACTTAGTGAGAAATTACCTGGCTTATATTTCTAAGCCTAAATCTAAGGTTCCAAAATTTTGTTTTTTTTGTCCCGAAAACGCCATTTACTATGGAATCTTTTTTTTTTTTTAAAGATTGTATTTATTTATTCATGAGAGACACAGAGAAAGAGAGAGAGAGAGAGAGAGAGAGAGAGAGAGAGAGAGAGACAGGCAGAGGGAGAAGCAGGCTCCATGCAGGGAGCCTGATGTGGGACTCGATCCCAGGACTCCAGGATCACACCCTGGCCGAAGGCAGGCACCAAACCGCTGAGCCACCCAGGGATCCCCTTACTATAGAATCTTTAAAAACAAGTTACTGAGGAACCAATCTCTAAGTTGATAAAAGTCAAGTAAGCATACAACCTCTACACTGTCACATTGTTTTTTTTTTTTTTTTAAGATTTTATTTATTTATTCATGAGAGACACAAAGAGAGGCAGAAACAGAGACAGATTTGGAGAAGCAAGCTCCTCACTCCCCTGATGAGGGACTCAATCCCAGGACTCTGGGATCACAACCTGAACCAAAGGCACACGCTCAACTACTGAGCCACCCAGGGATCCCCATCACATTGTTTCTTTTCAAGTGGTCCTTAATTTCAAAAAAATAGCTAAAAGCTATCTGAATATGAATGTAGAGCAGGGACCATTCTAAATGGTTCCATTTAGAATGAATTATAGATACAAGGCATACTTGTATCAAAAGTGCAAACAACTTAGTCTTTCTTTAGATGAATGAATGAAAAGAGAGTTGAAAAACCGAGGATGGGAGGGCAAGTGTAACCAGCACTTGGCAAGATGTCAGGTAAACTGGTGTCCCCAGTAGGCTCTTTTTCTTTTGTAGGATTCTTGGGTCCTTTTGTGTGCTGTTCTGTAAAAAACAGCAGAGTGAACTCTGAGAAAACAAGGAATTCAACTCTGATCACTGGCTCCACACCCCCTGTTGCAAGGCAGGTAGAGAATAACCCACCAGTCTAACAGCTTTGCTCCCACTGGAGCTGTCCCCCGGCAAGCAGGCCTCACGCAATGCCAAAGCTGTGACACGCACAACACAGCCCCGAGGCCCCAGGAGGCTAGGTCTGCAGGGGTGTCATGAACAAAGTACTTGGCCAACTCGAGCATGGGACCAGCACACGATGGCATGCTTGTTCCCCCAAACCTCCAAATTCACCTTCTAACATTTCATAATCTTTTCTCTACCAGCAACGTGCTCAGCCCCAGCCCTCACAGGCATGGCACAGATCATCTTCCCCAGTTTTCCTGAGAAGCTACTTAAGAGCTCCCTTTTTTATCAAAACCCAGGGCAGAAAAAAAAAAAAAAAAAAACAGGGCAGGAGCCATGCTCTGTGTGTTTTGTTTTGCTCAGGTTGAGGCACCCCAAAATTAAATGGAAAGAAGAATGCTTGTATGTTGAGTCAAATCTGTATCCCTCGCATAGGTTTCACAAATTAAATTCAAATCACATCAAATCCACAAGATGAACGGGGGCATTGGGAGAGGGGGAGGGGCACAGGAACTGGGTAAAAATATTCCCAGACCTTGTTATTGTGTCTTTAAAATTCTCATGCGTAAGAAGTTTAAGGAAACATGTGAAGCAAATGTGACCCAAATCATTGACAACTGTTATATGAAGAAGGGAGTTCTCTTTTATTTTTCTATAGATTTAAGTTTTAGGATTCATAAGAGAATATCAAAATACTTCAAATGAATATGTGTGTGTGTGTGTGTGTGTGTATTCTCAGCCCTTGAATCTGCATCTGTATTGAAAGAAAAATTAAATAGGAATGGATTGGCATTATTATCTTCATCTTGGCTTAGGGTTTTGAAAACCACTTTCACCTAAAATAGAAAAAAAAAGGTGATAGATCCAGTCAGGAAAAGAAAAAGATCGTTATCCAACCAAGCATTAGCCTACCTTCAGGCAGACGGGTAATGCACAGTGCCTTCTCCTCAAAGAGCCTTCTCCCCTGTAGTGAGGGGAGGTGAGGGGAGGGGAGGAGAGGTGAAGTGAGGTGAGATGAGGGGAGGGGAGCAGAGGGGAGGGGAAGGGGCCTGTGGGCCCCCTTCATGCACCCTGGCCTCAAACTTGGCTCTGACTCATCTTATTTATATTGGGTTTCTGTACATATTGGTTGAAGAGAAAGTCCTGTCAGCTGCTAGAAGGGTAAAGCTTGAAGAGCCCTGCTCCAAGGACCATTATCCACTCCTGACAGTTTTCAATTGCAAGTTCATCAGCCTCCCCCAAAGTTGTCCTGGTGCCTGGTGCCAAAGCCACCTGCCCAGAAGAGGTGGGGATGCCCTGAGATGGGATCTGATCTCCGGTCACTCCCATCTGCTGGACACCAGGCCCAGCCAGCACTCTACCTTCCACCTAACCTGTAAGACATGCCAGAGCACATACTCACCAGGCTCCCCAGGAGCCATAAACATGGTCTGGAAGATCGACCCTGCTCAGAAATGCATTTCCTGAAAAAAGTCCTAGAACCCTCGGGAACCTCTCTTGATTTGCTAATTTGGGGGAAACTTCAAAAAACCAAAATAGCTCTTTCTAGTCTCATCTCAGTACAAAATATCGAAGACATCTTTCTGGAATTGAACTGCTTAAAAGCTTTAACTTTTGTCAACGGACTAGAAATTCCATGTCTGGGGAACTATTTACTCAAAACCCAGCCCTGTGGACAAAGGTCTCCTGGGGGGCACAGTGGGGGGGGGGTCAGCACTCACAAAGATGTTAACAGCCCTTCTTCTTTCCTTTCCCTAAGAAGAGGGTTCTTAACACAGATCACCCTCTCCCCAGGGACACCTGGTAATGTTTTTTGTTTTTTTAAAGATTTTATTTATTTATTCATGAGAGACAGAGAGAGAGAGAGAGAGAGGCAGAGACATAGGCAGAGGGAGAAGCAGTCTCCATGCAGGGAGCCTGATGTGGGACTCGATCCCGAAACTCCAGGATCATGCCCTGGGCCGAAGGCAGGCACCGAACTACTGAGCCACCCAGGGATCCCAACCTGTTAATGTTGGCAGGCATCTTTGTCACTACTGTAGTGGTGGTACTACCCTACAATGCACAAGACAACCTCAAGAACAAAAAATTCTCTAGCCCCAAATGTCAGTAATACCAAGGGGAGAGACCCTGCCCTAAGGGTTTTGATCTTTTTAGTTTTTTGAGTCTGTGACCACAGGCAGATAAAGGGAGAGTGAACAAAGCAACTCTCTGGCGGGCATTCCATAAAAAGCCATAAAAGTGGAAACACAAGGAAGTTAACTTAGAATTCCTTCTTCAACTGGCGTGATGGCATCTCTGCTGAGGACGTCTTGCAGGGTTACACAGAAATGCTGTGGGACGCCACCTCCTCGCCCTTCTACCAACTCCAAGATCAACCAAGGGAGAGGTCTGTCAAGTCTGGCAGGTGTAGGCAGCTATGATTCTGGAACTCTCCTCTGCACGCAAAGTGCTACTGGGAAATGAGTGACCGATTTAACTATATAAATTTTATATCATGTAAAAGGCCTCCAAGTCGTCTGACTTGGCAAATCTCACGTAGTAACTTCGGGTAATAAATTCTCCTATTTTGAAGTAGGAGAGACATACGGTTGTTCTTGATATGACATCAGTTTATCCCTCTCTCATGAGAGAGTGGTTGAACAAATAAGAGTTTAAGTATCCTCTGTTGGAATCCAGCCCCCTCCAGGGCCAGCCCTGCCAGTGACCCCAAGGGGGAGCCCTGTGTCCATGGTTCTGTTGCTTACAGCTGCCCACAAGCTGTGGGGTGGCACCAACCTGGTAAGACCTCTCCATGAGACCACCAGAGAAGTCAAGTGAATAATGTTCACTATGTTCCAGATCCTTTTTCATCCCCCTGCTTTCCTTTGTCCCGCTTTCCAAATAAGCCAACACCCAAGTTGCTGTAGACTTGTGTGTGTGTGTGTTTTAAGATTTTATTTATTTATTCATGAGAGACACAGAAAGAGGCAGAGATATAGGCAGAGAGAGCAGCAAGCTTCCTGTGGGGAGCCCGATGCAGGACTCCATCCTAGGACTCTCGGATCATGACCTGAGCTGAAGGCAGACGCTCAAGCACTGAGCCACCCAAATATTGCTGTAGACTTGTTTTTTAAACAAAACCAAGCAGTTCAAAGTTATAGCTCCAAAAGCAGCTGCATTTCAGCCATACTCCACATAGATTTATATAAAAGCATTGCCTTTTATATCCCCCTGAACTTCAGAAAACACAATCTTGCTGTCAAGAGACAAAATTTATGAATCTGGGATCTTACCTAGAATCGTTCCTCTGCACTGCAATTTTACATCTTACAATGCCAGGTTTTTAGCATTAAAAATGTTTTGCACATTCACAGTCAAACATAGCACCCAACACAGAAGGTGAGCTCCCTCAGAACAG